GAGAAGTCGTCATTATTCATGCATTCTAGTCCACTCTCCTTGGCTGCCAGGTGACATCGATGTCGCACAAACCATTCTTGTTAATATTAACAATGGCTGGACCTTTTCTGGACAGACCATTCACACAAATAAATGCCTGCTATTAGAGACAGCAGGGAGCAAGTCCCACACCGGGGACTCTGTCCGATCCAACTCTTGGTGAGATATGAATATTAAACAACAATAACGATCTCACGGGAGGATTTTTGCTCTACGGATCCATAAAGCGGATCCCTTCGTTCCTATGGGAAGCCCAAAACCCCAGCAGCCATGTGGTAGGGCAGGGTGGGGGGCACCTGTGTCTGCTCTTTGTACAGCCGAGTGTGTCTGAGCACAGGGGAAGGTGACCACAGGCGGGCGTGGAAAGAGAGGGAAGTCCATGGGCGTGGAAAGGGAGGGAAATTCCGTCGTGTGCCCGAGTTCCGAACGTGAACGTGGAAACCCCTACCGAGGAGACGAGGGTCCCACCTGTAGAAGGGCAGTGACCCCACACGGTGCTCGAGGGAGAGGGCAGCGGTGGGGAGCCCGCTGGCTTGCTTGTCCTGAAAGGGGTCTGGGAGCCCGGACCCCACTGGTACCTGCTTGCCTTCACTACATCACATCCCAGCTGGGGTTTTTCTTCCTTTTAATCTCTGCATCTGCATTTGTCACACTTCCTCATGAAAACTCAACACAGTTTGTTTCTACAGACAGAGCCAGTTCTGGTGAAGCAAACCCACTCAGGACTCCTCGTGTGAGTGACCAGCCACTGTCCAGAGAGAGGTGACTGCTGAGACATCCAGCGCACAGCGGGAAGAGTAGGGCTGCACACAGGGGCCGGAGACCACCGACAGGAGAGAGACCCTGGCGTGCCCCTCTCCTCTGAGCCGCGACTTGATCATCCATAAGATGAGGGGCTGCAAATCGGTGTTTCCTTCCAGATCCACGGTGGGTGGATAAGGCATCTTGTCCTCAAATCAGAAAACGCCTGGATCCTGACCCCCAGTTCTACCACTAGCTGTGTAACTAGGGTAAACTGTCTACCTTCTCTCCGCCTCAGTTTCTTAACTCATACGACAAAGGCAATAACAGTCCCATAACAATAATCAGATACAATGACACCATGGATATAATATACAAGTGCTTAATACAACAACAACAACAATAATAATGAATGGGTGGGTAGCTGTGTCTATGGCATTTAGTGAGGTCCTCGGTCCAGTGCAAAAAATAAACAGCAAGAGAAAAAGAGGGCTGTGGGTCTGAGTTCCTGTTGACAGAGCCCCCGCCCGACGGGACACACTGCCACCAGGAGCCACCGTGCCTTAGGTAACGGGGTGAACCGCTCAGAAGGGGCTGAACGACCATCCGCTTGGACCCTGAGTCCTGAAATGACCAGCCCTGGCTTTCCCAGCAAGTCTTAGAGCCGCCGCCGCATCCACAGTTGGGAAACGCCTTTTCCCCAGAGACAGCTCCCGCGATTTCAGGGCACATTGACGGAAGCTAATGACGCTGAGAGAAGGGGCATGGTGCTGAACAGTCAATTCCGTTCTCATCTCGTGGAGAGCAGCAGGCAGCTATTAGGAGCAATCTGTGCTTAACGGCAAGAAGAAGCCGGGCCACCTCTCCTGGTGTCCCCAGCGGAGGTCCTCTCCAGAAGACCAGCGTCGACTGGACCTTTATTTAGAAGTGGACACAGCACTTAATGGAGCCCTGTGTAAACTATTTGGAAAACTGATGTAACCGTTACAAACAGGCCTTGTTCAATGTTCCCAAACACTAGGGTTTTGTTTCTTTTCTGGGTCCTTTTGAATTTTTTGTCACTGATAATGACAGGCTAGTTGTACACAAAGGCAGAAACACAGGCTCTTCCCGAGGTTAGCAAAATATTGAACTGGAACATGTGAGATAACTAATCCCTCAGTGCGGATAATAAGAATGCTTTGAGGATGTTTAGTACAGTCAAATCTGAAATTCTAACGCATGCACAAATTAGAAAATACAGACACTGAAAGACAGATATTTTGATCTGTTCCAACAAATCCACCCACTTCTAAAAAAGCAATTAATTTATTATCACTCTCTTTCCCCAAAGAAGCCCATGGCTGGGGTGTGTGTGTGTGTGTGTGGGTGTGGGTGGTGTGTATTATGAGCCACAAACTGTTCTACATAACACAGCAGTGCTGTGCCATCTTTGCAAGATGGATGGTGAAAGCCCTAAGGGGGGAAGTGGACAAATGGAGAGCAGAGCTGCTGATGTTCCGGAAAGGCAAGCAGCCGTGAGCTAAGGACACGGCTCCTGGGTGGGCGAGTCAGCCTGGCAAGGAGCCCACCCAAGACGCCGGGCCGCCAGGGGCGTTGAGCCTGCATTATGGCGGCTGTGGTGAGATCCTGGCTCCTCGATTCCTCGCTCTGTGACTTTGGCAAGTTACCTAACCTCCCTCTGCTCGAGGTTCCTGAACTCTAAGATGAGAATAATCATCGGCCTACTACAGGACGAAACTGTATCATTATATGCGTATGATGTAATATATATAATGCCCTTAAGATAGTGCCTGTCACTATCTTAAGGTAGGTTATTATTTACCACCCTTTGAAACATGCTAGTTCATTGCTTCGCTCTCCAGACTGTGTTGTCTCTGTGTCTGTTTCTAGCAAACCAAGAGCAGTCGGAGGCGCCAGGGACCCCTTCTCTGCCAGCTCTCATGTGCACCATCGACAGCAAAAGCATTATTAAAATGTCGTTGCCCGTGACTTTGTGCTGGGTGCTGCACACACAGACGTCCTCTAGAGATTCACGGCACAGACGGACACGACAATGACACTGCACACACGTGTAAACAAACAAGGGAATGAAACACGCTGGGCGCTTCTGATGTTGGCCAGCGGACACACCGTCAGATGAAGGGCTCTTCCCACGCACGCTCCACGCACCCCACGGCCCCCTCCACGCCTCCACCCCCTCCGAGCAGGACGACCGCCCGTTCCCAGGCGGCGACCCCAGGAAGCAGATACAAGGACACAGAAGCACCAGGCACAGGGCAACTCCACTCCCTGACCCCCGCCTCCAAGTGCCGTCGGCCCCGCCGTCCAGGAGGATGTGAGGTAGCCACCCAGGCCTCCCTGCCCCCGCAGCACGGCTCTGGAACTGGCACCCCAAGGATCTGAGCCCTAGGAGTGGACTCGGGCAACACTGAGTCACAAGAGGCATGAGGCCTGGGTGCTGAGGTGGAGACCCGGGCAGGCAAGGGTGGCGCTGGGGATAGCTGCTTTCCATGACTGAATTTCTAAAACCACAGAGGTGAGTTTGAGGACAAAAATGTAACATTTATGTCATGTCTAATACTGAAAAGAATTTTAAAGGAAATGGCAAACACACGGGCGGGCGGGCAGCCACCGAGGTGTGGTAGCTGAAGCGTTGACAGACGCCGCTGGAGACTTGGGGCCCGGTGGCAGTGTCTGGCTCACAAATGGGCATGGCTGCCCGGCAGGACGCTGCATCGCATGGTGGATGGTGGACATGGCGCAGGCTGGTGTGCCCACTGCGGTCTGCACAGGCCCAGCCTCTGGCATCCCCCACCCCCATCCCCCCGAGCATGTGCACTTGCTTCTCCCAGGGACCACAAGAGCGACTGATGGCAGGAGCCCGCATCCGCAGATTTCGGGGGGCAGAGAAAGAAAATCAGAAACGTGACTACAGAAGAGTAGTCACAAAGTAGGAAGAGAATCCAAAGGGCTGGCAACAGAAAGCCAAGAGAAGAAAGTTCCGGAAGAGGGCTGCGGCCATAGTGTCATGTGCTAAGGTGTTATACAACATGGGACCTGCTGGGTCTCCCGGGGTGGGCGAGGAGAATGAAACAAAACCAACACCCCAGACACGTGCCTGTGTGTGGACTCGGGCCCGGCGCCAGCAGGACTGAGGACCCTGAGGAATGAGAACCTTCCAGGAGCAGGGAGGTCAGGGCACCGGCCAAGGCCGCATTCATCCCAAGGACACAGATTTAGGAAGCTTTGTGCAAACACAGCTTCCTACTGCCCGCTATCCAGAGGGATGCTCCCTTCAGCTGCAGACAGAAGCTCACACTGACATTTCCCTGGACCATCAGCGAGCATTTGAAGAAAGCTCGGTAAAACCAGTGGCCTTGTTCACACGCCGTCCGAGTTTGAAATCTAATGTGCTCTGGAAAGTTCTGGCTTGTCGTTGCTGAGTTCACTATCACGGGCGTGCTTCTTGGGGATGAACCTGGAACATAATTACTATAAGACAACTGAGAAATAACGTGTATCGGGAAGGACAGCACGAATGACAGCGTCAGCGAGGTTGTGCCGGTGGGTCACGTGAGTCTCCCGTGACTCCAGGACGGGGAGCAGGGCCGGTGGCTCTTCACCAACAGACGCCCCGAGTCGCAGAATGCTGCAGCTGAAAGAGACCTCCGAAATCTCACGTTCAACCCTTTCACCCTCCTAATGGGGACACTGAGAGGGGGACACAATCGCATCGCCCCATGCAGTCACTTGTGGTTAGGCAGTGACGTCAACGCCGGGCTCGGTCCAGGGTGCACATGGTGAGTGAGACACAGAAAGTCCCCAGAGGGGACTCACAGAGGGTGCGGATTCAGGTGGGCGCCCCCCCGCCCCAGCACCAGCACTGGGTTCAGCCTCGTGGTGAACCATGAAGAGACTCTCTTACAGGCGAAGCTGGCAAAACCCCGTAACCGCAGGAGCGACGGCAGTGTTTGCCCACCGAGCAGCAAGCCCTGGCAGGGGCTGGGGGGGGGCGGGGGGGGGGGTCTGACAGAAGTGGAAATCACCAAGCAGGTGTGCCATCTGCACGAAAGCACGTCCGCTGGGTTCCCGAGTCAGGCGGGCCCTGCTGTCGCGCTGAAGCTTCGTCTGCTCAGTGTTTCACCTCCTGGCTTCCCTCGCCACGCCCTCTGAGCCTGGAGTCCTCTTCCCGCGCAGTCCTCCTCCCGGTCACTTACCAAAAACATGCACCAGGCAGGCACCGACTGACCGCTCCAGAGACGAAACGCTCCCACTTCTGCACACAGAGGAAGGCTCCTGTAAGTCCTCTTCTAAATTTCTTTTTTTCTTACTTCTGATCCCTGCCTCCCTGAACATGATTTTGAAGAAACGGCAAAAAGTTTTCTAGTCTATATGTAGTATATACCCTATAAGTTGTATATACCATATACAGTATATACACTTCAGTTAAGTCAAAGGGTACCTACCGGTCGGTGCCCCTTCCGGTTTACGAGATAACGCCAGCTCCTTCCCCCGGAGTGGTGGCTGGACTGCACGCCCACTAGCAGTGCGTGAGAAGTTCTGGCCCCTGCACACGTCATCGCCAGCACTGCACGCTGTCAGTGTGATCACTTTTGCCAATCCAGTGGAAGGAAAATAGCACGTCACCCTGCTTTATGTTTCCTCGATTGCTCATGAGGCTGAGCACGTTTTCGTGACTTCCAACCGTCTATCACCTGGCCCCTAATAATTTTAGGTAATTCATCTCACATCACTCCATATTGAACCACTCACCAGCCCCAACTCCCGCTTAGGAGGATGGAAAATAAGACACATCGGGAAACACGGGAGGCTCTGAGTCTTCCTTCCTGTAATGCACGTCCCTCTGGACTCTGTCACTGTCTAACTGCACCCTCCCTGAGCAGCAGCCTGGGGCTGGGAGAGCTGAGCTCAGCTCACAAGGTGGGCATGCATGGTCTGAGGGAATCCCACCCCTCTTGCCCAGTAATTGGCTCAGGAATGCAGGCGTGAACCCCATTGGACTACTGGAGGCTTCTGGGAACACCCTCCCTCTCTCTCACACGCAGCAGTGGGAGGCCAGGGTCCATCTGACACCAGACGGGAAGCAGGAAGGCGGGGAGGGGGTCCTCACACAGCAGCCATCCTAGGCCTTCAAGGAGCCGTCAGAGAGCGAGGGTGTCCACGTGGCAGGCAGGGCCGGCAGAGGGAAACGCCTGCCTGGATCTCACCGCTCGGCTGCCAAGGGAACTGACCCTGGACCACGCTCCCCCCGGGGGCTGATTGATGGAAACCAAGCAACTTCCGCGTTGCCAAAGCCAACGTGAACCTGCCCTTCTGTTCCTTCAACCAAAAACATCCTGACACGAGTTATGTGGTTGCAAAACAAAAACGACAAAAGCGATGAGCCATAGACAGCGCTGCGGATGCCTGTAGAGAGCTCGCCAACAGCAAAACGTGGGTGTTTGTCTGGGAACCGGAGGTCCCCTTACTGTCACCACATTAGAGGGTGGGTGCGTGAGGAGAGATGGGGACCAGGCAGCAGGGGCGATACTCGGAAGCCTGGGATTGCTCAGCACACGCTTCATTACCGAAGGCAGGCTCTAACCGCCCCCTCCTCCCGCTCCTGTACTGGAACATTCAAGAGAGTCAGTAATTAAATTCTAATCGAGGTATGTCCTCAGTGAGCTGGCGGATGCCACCACAGTCGGGCTGCTGTTTTAGCTGCTGTCTCTCAGCACTCATGGGGAGCAGTGAGCTCACATTCAGTCGCAGAGTTCTTGCTCGCATCGAGTTGTCTCCTCAGTGTTCCATATAATTATTACCTTCTCGGTCTTCCCTGATGGGCTGGACGTGCTCTAAGGGCAAGTGCTATGCTGTCCTCTACTGGGTAGCCTCCTTTCCACCCATACGATCACTGGTCCTGCCGATAACTCCTGTGGACCCCTGAGAGGGCCAGCCGGGAGCCTCAGGTTCTTGGCTTGTTACAGAAACTACACGGCCAGACTGTCGAGTGCATCATAACAACACGTACTAAGTAGCTGACAAGTGGCAGCCATGATCATTAACGACCGATGTGGAGTCACGAGTAACGAGTGTCCAAGGTCCAACGTGCCCAGGTGTGCTCAAAGGCTGAGTTTGGGGTTTAGTATCCCTTCCAGCCCAGAACATCAAGTGCTATGTACTAAAGGGTCTGGGGACGAAGTAAAACGTTACTAAATGACGTTCGTATCAATAAAGGAGAATCTGAGCAACATTTATGTCAGCTGAAGAAGGATGATCTTATTATAAAATCAGATTCATCACCAAACTAACCACCGACACCCTGCTACGGGCGAAGCTACCGGCTCCCTGAACCAGTAAGAGGCCGAACCCGTAACCTTCACAGGGGGCTACTGCTGTCGGCACGTTCCAGAATAAATCCAGATCGACCCTGGAAATAGGGGAGCGCTCTGCACGCGAATCCACTCTTTAATAACCTCGTGTCTTCTCAGATACGAAACAAGAGCTGATACAGTTTTTTTTTAAAGACTTTATTTATTTATTTTTAGAGAGGGAAGGGAGGGGGAGAGAGAGAGAGAGAAACATCAATGTGTGGTTGCTGAGGGTCATGGCCTGCAACCCAGGCATGTACCCTGACTGGGAATTGAACCTGCGACACTTTGGTTCGCAGCCCGAGCTCAGTCCACTGAGCTACGCCAGCCAGGGCTCAAGAGCTGACACAGTTTTAATATCACCGTTTATATTTCAGTACTACGAAATACATATAATCATAGACTATCCATGTCATCTTAAAGATCAAGAAATTATCCAAAGACACAGCTAATTTGCAGTAGAACAGATTCCTGGGATAATTATTCCTGAAAAAGTACTAGAAATAGTGGACCCCACCAAAAAAATCAGGTTATTTCAATTTTGCTCATTTTTCCCCCCACAAAAGTATCCTAAAGCATAGTTGTCTTAGAGAATTTAGAAGCCATAAAGTACATGGAATTCTTTTTTGCAGGGGAAAAAAATCTGATAAGCAGCGTTGGAGGAAGGAAAGAAAAACAGCAGAACAAAAGGAAAGAAAACAGGAAATCCAAAACGAGTCCACCCAACTCTGAGCATTGTTTCTACAAGAAAATTATTTAACATTTCAACTGCCAGAACGGAGGAAAGGAAAACCTGAATCTCCATGATGTGCCTCCTTTTCACCGCAGACTGGCCTGATTACGTCTGGGGCTCCCACCCGGCAGAGGCAACTGTACATTAAACCCGGTCTCTCCAATACACAAAATAACGACCTGCGTAATGAGCCCATGATAATGGGTCTCTTCTTGCTGGAAATTGCCATTTACTTTGTTTTTCTAAGGAACATCTGCTGTGGTTTTGAAAGGTTGCTAAGGAAAGCTTTTTTGTTTTCTGTTTTTTTCCCCCCAAAGGTGATACAAAGCCAGCAACATCTTTACTCCATTCTTTACCGAAAACATATCACATGTAAAATTTTAATTTTTATTTCAAATTATGAACACCCCTTGAGGCTTTGTTCATTCTTGATCTTCATGACAGGACCATAGAATCAAGGGCCCTGGGTCATTGTCACCCTGGGGCATTGTGGGTAGAGGGGCGGGGGGGGCGGAGCAGGGCTGTCCCCCTGACAACCACACCTCCAATCCCTCCACCAGCAGCTCACGTCAACCACCAACATGCTCCTCGTTCCAGCCACTTCTGACGTCCTCCATCCCTGGCCCCAGTCAAGGTCACTCTAGTCTCTCATCGGGAATCTTGCAGCAGTTTCTGCATTTCCCCCGTTTCCTCTCGTGCTCCCCAACCCTCCACTCTCCACCCAACAGCTCGAGCCATTTTCAAAAATGACTTCCCCTCGTACTTAGAACAGAGTCTAGCGCCCCGGCCGTTGTCTGGAAGGCCGACCGGACCTGGCTCCCGGCTGTTCTCTCTGGCTTCAAGTCCACTACCGCCGCCGTGGCCAGTGCACTCCCGCCACGCCGACCTTGCCATCATGCTGCAAATGTGCTGGTGCGATCCCACGGGGGGGGAGGGTCTTTGCACTGGCTGGCCCCGCCCCCTGGAGTGCCCTGCCCCCTGGTACTTGGGAGTCTCAGTCTCTCACTTCTTTCTGTTCATATTTCTGCTCAGTGTCCCCTCTTGAAAGACGCCTTCCCTGACAAGTCCGCCTGAAACAGCCTCTTCTCCCCAAGTCATGGTCTATTATAGCCTTACCCCCTTCAATTTCCCTTTAACAGTCATCATTGTCGTGTGACATTCCATTATGCGATTCTTTGCGGCTTGGATGATTGCCTGCTACCCCTACTAGAATGCAAGGATGTTGCGCAGTTCCTTGCTAGAACACTGTCCTAGAACACTGCCCAGTCCTCACCGAATATTCGTTGACTATTAAACGAATGACTCTCTTCAGACCTAAGAGTTACAACATTCAAACAAACTCCTACTTCTTAAGTAAAATCTGTTATCCCGTAATTGTAAGCAGGTGGCAGTTTGTATGCTGAGGCTGATCCAAGGCGCAGAAACCAGTACATCGCACAGCGTGGCGCACGGCTTTGCAGCCGCTCCCTTCCCGGGGCCGCCTGACAGACGTCCGCGGGGAATGGCGGGAGCTGAATCCTCTTGGGGAGGTCGGTCTGGACTGACGGGTTCAGACCGAACACTGCTCCGGAGCAGAGGGAGGCCACCGTGGTGCCCACACACCACGAGTGGGCTCGGATCCCCAGCAAAGTTCGGCTACAAGAGTTTTAAGAACTAATGGAATTAAAACTGGGCAGGTTGTCAGCATTTGCTGTTTTTTTCTTTCTAAGTTTTCAGAAATGAATACATCATTTCATGAAAAAACACAATGTCAAACACAGGTCTACTGTCCTGAAGCTGTTAAGAACCCACAGAAATCCTTATGTTGAGCATATGGGGTCATAATCTGCGCGGCTGTCCACACGTAACAGCTATGGAAGTCGGTGCAAAGGAGACACAGATGGGAACAACAGCTTTAATGTATGAATAACCTCCCAAGTATAAATGAGCAGATATTTTGGCACTACTCTTCGGATACACTACCACCTTTATCTGAACTGCTATTTTTTTAATTTTAACTTTTATACAAGCCAAAGAAATAAACACAATGAGACAAGAAGGAGAACGAACAAATCTTCCTTCTGTTTCAGGAAGATTCTTTTTCTCTCCATTCAACGGGACACACATTTGCCAAGAGAGCCCAGAGATAATATGCCTTAAAGACCTTCCAGAAATAGAAAAGTCATCTGGGCA